CTCCCATCCGCACCCATAAACATGGCTCTCCCCTCGCCACGCACGGGTACAACTTGGCCGGTGGCTGAAACGACGGTGGCTGCCTTTGATGGCCTGCCTTCATCCAGCAGATCCTCTCGGTTGGTCATGGTCATGAAGGCTCCTGTGTCAATGACCCAATGGGAGGAGTGGTGAAGAGCAACCTTGCTGGCCGGTACAACCATGTCCTCGGAGCATGCCTCTCCTACATGGTAGAACATGCCGCCATGTCCACCAGCACCTCCATCGCCCTCCTCACTGCCCATGGCTTCTCCCATAGCTCCATGAACAATGTTCGAATATTGACCTGGAAGCCAAGCAACCAGACAGTCAGTCGACCGCATGTTCGAACGTGCATTTGAAGCATGCTTTCAAACGTGGTCATTTCTGCTCACATTGAGCAGCTGCACGAACTCGACGAAGCGTGACGACAACTACACTAAAACCATCGCGGAAGACGTCACAGCCACGTAGGCTACATCGGGTAACCTACTCGGTATACGCGCGGCTCGGAGAGTGTCGAATTTTGTTCTAAACCCTCGATGGTCGCATTTGACTTACCTGAAATCGGTCCCGTGACTCGAATCTCATAAAATCAACTTTCCGACTACACAATCGAACTTAAAAAATGGGTATTCGAATGAAAAAACTTAATTTGGGATTTACGTCAAATGCACTGCGCCCTCAGTGTCTCGTTTTTTTAATGGCAAGTCTGCTTTCGTCAGCCTTGACCAAGCACTTCGCCACAATGGATCAGGTTACATGAGCACCATGTTCACCGTCGCAACCAGTCACCTCTCTTCTCGACATCCCCATCCAATAAGCAAGCAGCACCGTGTGTCGTGCTCTTCACATGCATGGCTACAGTTGGAGGTGTAGTTCAGGTTCCAGCCTGAATCGAGAGCAGGTTTCTGTGAACCACCTTGGTTTGTTGGTTCGGTTCAAATTGCTTCCCTGCTAATGGTTCGGGCAATTACCTCAGCCGTAACACTCATTGAGGTCAATCGCACGTAAGGTAAGCCATGCATCCATATTGTAACAAAGATATCTTCTCATTGCTAGTGTGGTAGCCAGCATGCCTAAATGGACAACATTATTGCCTGAATGGTAATGAAGTGGATCCGGCATTCCTGGCTGGTAACTTCGTGTTCCAACCAAACTGTACACCGTACAAGTAGGGTTTGACTCAGCGAAACGAAACTTTTTGTCCACGTGTACTCCACAAAATGCACATTTCTGTTTATGATAGCGGCGTTGACAATCCCAAACGACAAAAACTCGCTATGATAACACTTAATATATTTAAGAAATATGTAACTGGAAACATTAACTATTAAAAAAACGCCACAAAAAAGAACACACACAATCTCAAAGTGCAAAGCTATCCTAGTGATAAACATTTTAACACAAATTATTTTACTCTACCAGAATTTTACTTATGAATATTGATAATTGGAGCTAGATCAAGTTAAAATGATTTTAATATCATTTTTTTTTGCGTATTAAAGATATTTAAAGTTGCATAATGCAAAAATATTTTTGTTCAAATTGATATTTAAAAATATTGTAACTTTGTCTAGCTCCAATTATTAAGATTCATAAGTAAAAGGCTGGTATATTAAAATAAATTGTTTTGAAATATTTATCAATAGGATAGCTTTGCGATTTGATATTGTGTGTTTTTTTGTGGCGTTTGATTAATAATTAATGTTTTCAGTTTTTTTTCTTAAACAGATTGCGTGTTAGCATAGCGAGGTTTTATCGTTTGGGATTGTAAACGCCGCTATCATAAACAGAAATGCGCATTTTGTGGAGTACACATGGACAAACAGTTTCGTTTCGCTGAGTCAAACCCTACTTGTACGGTGTACAGTCTGGTTGAAACGCGACGTTACCAGCCAGGAATTCCGGATGCACTGTTCATTACCATTCAGGCAATAATATTGACCATGTAGGCATAATGGTTACCACAGTTGCGAGGACATGATACCTTTTGTTACAATTTTGACTCGTGGCTTACCTCCGGCGCAATCGAGCTCCAATTGTGTTACCGCGAAGGTAATTACCCTAATGGTTCAAACTTCAAATGTCATCCATTCTTCATCGTCCTTCAGGGCGCCCATGAGTCGTGAAGCTCGAGTTTCCATGGAGCCTTGCGCGCACATCCACCGCCTCACTGACGATCTTCTTATTCGAATCCTATGGCACTCCGCGAACCCCGGAACCTGCATATTTGAAAGCGACGCTATATGGACCTCCTTGCACCACAAGCCCAGGTACCTCTGTCCGCACCGCTTACCTGGCGTTGATTCGCCTGCGTACCATCCGCACTTGGCGCTAACGAATCAACTCTCCGCAGACTCCGCGGGCTACCATCTCCTCATCGCGTCGGTCTGCCGTCGTTGGCGGCGACTCGCTCAGCTCTCCGTCTCCACCCTTTCCGTCCGAAGCAACCTCGACGTTCCTCTCGAATTCCTCGCGACGGCTGTCGCTTGCTTCCCGAATCTGACCTCTCTGCGTCTGCGCGACGGCAGCGTGGCGACAATGAGCGACGATTTCCTCGATCGCCTAGCATCGACGTGCCCTAATTTAACGTCTCTTCACATTGGAAGCAGATTCACATTCGTGGACTACGGCATAAGCAAGGAGAACCACCCGGTAACCGAATCCGGTTTGGATCGGCTGTTTCAACATTGCACGCAGCTGAAGCAGCTTTCGCTCTTTTGTCTCCGAGAAGACATGGATCTGCCGGCTTCGTTTATCCGACTCGCACACTTACACTCACTCACCTTAACAACGCCATTAGTGCTGGAAGCCCCTCATCTCGCGAGCCTTTCGTCTCTGACAGCTCTCCGAATCGCCTCGTGTTACCTCAACTCGAGACAATTCGCGGGCCTCCTTCGCCTTCCGAGCATCACCAGCCTTTCGATCTCAGATATTACCCAGATTTCGCCGCCCGATCAACCCGCTGCTGCTCTCATCCTCCCAGAGCTGCCGCTGTTGACATTGGAATCTAGCCTAACGATTCCGTCAGAACTACCGTGTAGCCGTCTCGAGCGGTTACTGATAACCAACTCCCACCAGCTCGAGCAGCTTCCCGGAAACATCGTGGAGCTTCTCCCGTGCCTTCGCGAGCTGAGCATTCGTGGCTGCAAAAACTTTTCCCATCTGCCCGACGAGTTCACCCGCCTCAGCGCTTTGGGAAGCCTGACTATTTCTTCCTGTTGCTCCTTTTCGAGCCTACCTGAGAACTTTGGACAGCTGGCAGCGCTCAAGACGTTGGTGCTGGAGATGCTGGCACTGGAGAATCTTCCTGACTCATTCTGGAGCCGTCCCACTTTGCTGGAAAGCTCCACATCCCATCTACCCGGCCAGCTGATATTCCCGAGCTCCTTGACGAGCTTAACGATTTCCACTTGCCGCAATTTCTCCAACCTGCCCGAAAATTTCGGGCAGCTTCCGGGCCTCAGAACATTGGTTCTAGATAATCTCACACTCACCAACCTTCCAGATTCTTTCAGCCTACTCACATCCCTGGAGACCCTCTTCATACTCGACTGCGAGGAGATGCAGCAGCTGCCAGCAGGGTTCTGCAGCCTCACAGCCCTCGCCACCCTCTGTCTCGTGAGGCTGTGGGAGGTGAAGCTTCCTGAAGATATTGGCGCGCTGTTGCAACTGCATACTCTTCTGCTGGACGGAAACTCTCAGGAACAGCTACTCCCATGTTCCTTTACCCAGCTCAAATCACTAACCAGGCTTGAACTCAACCGGTGCAAGATTGAGTCCCTTCCGGAGGGCATTGGGAATCTCAGCAGCTTGCAGCAACTCCACATTGATTCATGCAGTCAGTTGAGCGAGCTTCCTGTGTCCATTTCAGCCCTCAGGTGTCTTCGAATCCTGACCGTTCATTCCTGTCGACGGCTCTCCTTGGCTCCAATCAGGCTGGACAGGCTCAGAAGGCTCAAACACCTGGAGATTACCAACTGCCAGTCGCTGCCTGAATCCGTCCAAATTCTGCCCCCCTTTCTTGAGAAGCTGAGCCTGGCGACCAGCGACAGCACTGCCCCTCTGGTGACAATGCCGATGCTTCCAGAGCTGAGACATCTGAAGCTATCTTGGGTCCGTGTGGACCGACCACTGGAATTCAGCGAAAGCTTGTCGCGTCTGAAGCATTTGGAGCTGTTCTTAGAGAAAAATGCAACAGAGCTTCGATTCCCGCTGGCATCCCTTTCCCAGCTGCGCACCTTGGCAATCTATCATGCTGGCAGGATTCCCAGTTTTCCAGAGAGCATTGGCGCAGCTCTGCAGGAGCTGAAGGAGCTAAAGATACACAATGCTACGGATTTGGCTGAGTTGCCGGAGAGCATTGTGGAGCTGCAGCAGCTGATTTCATTGGAGGTTCATTCATGCAGCAGCCTAGCTCGCCTCCCGGAGAACATCGGTGGCCTGACCAGGTTGCGCAAACTGAACGTGTCAGACTGCAAGGCGTTGACGCAGCTTCCTGCTTCTCTCACCCGCCTCGCATGCCTGACTGAGCTCGATCTTTCCTCCGCCCGAATCGACTCGCTTCCTCCCCACTTTGTGCGGTTGGGCAGCCTAAGGCGGCTTGTCTTGGATGGGTGTTGGCGGTTGAAGGCACTACCATGGGACATGGCTGAGCTGAAGATGCTGCTGTATTTGGGTGTTAAGCGGTGTAGGCAGTTGCTGGATCGTGATGGGTATGTGCAGCCCCGTAACTTATATAATAGTAACTCTCTGCTTCAAATAGGCCTTAAGTGAGTCACTGAGGGGCCTGCTTAGACAGAGGGGGGTTGAACTCAAGTGCATCTGTGAAGAAAACATGCTGCCACATTATTTCTGAGACATACGGTACTGGCTTGCTGCTGCTGCTGCACATGGTGTTCTTGCTTGTGTGTTGTGCCTTTGAAGATATGATTTACATTCTATAGATTCTAGTTCTACAGCTAACCAAATCAGCTTGATCACTCGTCGTCATCATCGCACAAATCAATGATCTCCTCACCATCATCTACAGCCACCACTGGCGACTCAGCTCCATTCAACTGTTGCCGCACTTGCGTTACATCCAGCACGCGCTCCCCTTGTAACACCTGCGGCTGCTGCACCTGCACCTGCGGCTGCTGCTTTTGAGACCTTCCCTGTGCTTGAGCCTCCTCTTGGCCTGCACCAGAAGAGCGCTTCTCATTGGCGCAGCTGTGATCACCATTCTCCTCTGCAGCCGACTTTCCATCCGCACTCTTCTTCCCACCAACCCCTTCCACAACAGTGTGATTCTCATTGGGCTCTGAAGCAACACCCCCTTTGCTGCCTGCCACATGTTTCCCCCCAGCGTGCACGTGGGGGGCACCAGTCCCTTGCACACGAACACTGCCCTGCTCTGCTGCTTTAGCAGGTGGTATCTCAGGTGAAGCCAACGGCTTCACAGGAGGTGATCTCTTCAAAGATGATCTCGTCAGACGTGTTTCAGTGGGAGGTGATTTTGGTGAACACATCTTTGCCGAAGCTGATTTTGCCGAAGCTGGTTTTGCCGGAGCTGGTTTTGCCGGAGGTGATTTTGACGAAGCTGGTTTTGCCGGAGGTGACTTTTCCGAAGCTGGTTTTGCCGGAGGTGACTTTGCCGAAGCTGATTTTCCCAAAGGTGGTTTTGCGGGCAGTGCAGGGATCACCTCAACAGCCATGTTGTCATTCTCTGCAGGCACTCGAGCAGACTCCCCTCTCTCTGCTCTCTCGGGTGACACTGGCACTTCCACCACCATCTCGTTACCTTCTGGGGACTCCTTGCCCTCCTGCCTCTTCTTTGCATCCCCCCCACCTCTGGGCTCCGCCTTATCCTTTGCTGAATTCACCTGCTCTGCTTCAGCCCCATTTTGAGGCGCCTCAAAACTCTTCTTTCCACCCCCCCCACCTCTAAGCTCTGCCTTACCCTTTGCTGACATCACCTGCTCTGCTTCAGCCTCCTCTCCTCGCCCCTTCTCTACGTAAAGCCTTCTCTGTTGCGCCTTTTCAAGTGCTTCTTTCTCTTGGGCCTCCCGAGCTTGTTTGCTCCCTAGAGCGCTGCCTCCACCATCCACATCCCCGCCCAATTGACCCTGCGTGGGTGGCTCCTTCTGGCCCTGCCTGACTTGCTCTGCAGAACCATCAGCAGCAGGGGGAGAACCAGCAGGAGGCGGAGCGCAAGAACCAGAAGGAGCAGGAGGAGTGGGGGAACCAGCAGGAGCAGCAGGAGCAGCAGCAGGAGGGGAAGAACCAGCAGGAGCAGCAGGAGCAGCAGGAGCGGCAGTGCTAGCAACAGACTTGGGTTCTTCGCTATTGTTTATTGCTGCAGCAGATGCTTCACCTGCAGCAGATGCTTCACCTGCATCAGACTCAGCTGCTCCAGAAGGTCTGCCTTTGAGATTAGCTGTTGCAGCTGCCATAGCAGCAATCGCCTCCGTTCTCTCAACCCCCCCTGCTGCTACAGCCGGGTCACGAGAGCGTGAAGCAGATGCATCCCTGCTCCCTTGTGTCGCTACATCCTCATCTGCAGTATCTACAGGAGCACTCCCACTCTTCCCTGCTGCTACAGCCTCGCCCCCAGGATCACTGCATCCATTCCCCCCAGCCGCCGCTACAGCCTCAACCTCGGAATCAGAAGATGCATTCTCGCCTGCCGCTGCCTCAGCCTCGGCATTGAGACGGCGGATGAGCGCAACATACGGGTCACACTCCGCCTCCTCTTGCGGCTCCTTCGAAGTAGATTCAGATCGGTTCTGAGGTGCTGCTAATCCAGCTTCGGCCTGGTTCTGAGGGGCCTTAACGGAGGAGGTAGCTTGCAGGCGACTGGCAGGGGCAGCAGTGACGGTGGCAGCTGGAGCAGCGACACGAGTGGCAGGAGTGCCGATCACATAAGGCTCTGTCCATGGCACACTGCCCTTGGGGTCCTGCTGCTGCTGCTGCTGCTGCTGCTGCTGCTGCTGCTGCTGCTGCTGCTGCTGCTGCTGCTCTCTATGCTGATGTCCTGGTCGAGTCTGCTGCTGCTGCAGCCCCTGCTGCAGCTGCATCGCAATATCCTTCTGCTCCTTCTGGCGCAACCGCTGCTGCTGCAGCTGCTGCCGCATCCCCACCCCCACCTGCTGCTGCTGCTGCTGTTGGCGGTTCTTCAGTTCAGCTGCCACCACGTCAATTGCAGTCTGGATAGTGTCTGCAGCTCTTCCCGCCCCAGTACTACCTGCACCAGCAGAGCCTGCTGCTGCTGTGCGGTTCAGCTGGGACAGCCTTGCAGACTCACGCAGGCAGGCGAACGAGGTAGGCAGGGAAGAGGCGAGGGCAGGAGATGAGGCGGGCAGGGAGGAGGAGAGAGAGGAAGAGGCATTGTGTTTTTGTTCAGAGCGGCTAGTGACACCTGAGAGATGCTGCTGCTGCTGCTGTCCTTGCAGCTGCTGCTGCTGTTTCTGCTGCTGCTGTTGCTGGTCGGATGCACGCAACTGTTGCTCTAGCTGCTGCTGCTGTTGTTGCTGTTGCAGCAACCGCTCTTGTTGCCGCAGCTGCTGCTTCTGCTGCTCCTGCTGCTGCTGCTGTTGGTACAAGGCTCGTAATTGTTGCTCCAGCTGTTGCTGTTGCTGCTGCTCTTGCTGTTGTTGCCGCAGCTGCCGCAAGTGTTGTTCCTGCTGCTGCTGTTGCAGCTGGTACAAGGCACGTAGCTGTTGCTCTAACTGTTGCTGCTGCGGTTGCTGCTGTTGTTGCTGCGGTTGCTGTTCTTGTTGCTGCTGCTGCTGCTGCTGCTGCTGCTGCTGCTGCTGCTGCTGCTGCTGCTGCTGCTGCTGCTGCTGCTGCTGCTGCTGCTGCTGCTGCTGCTGCTGCTGCTGCTGCACCTGCTGCTGATACAAGGCACGCAACTGCTGCTCTAGCTGCTGCTGCTGCTCCAGCCGTTGCAATCGCTCCTGCTGCCGCAGCTGCTGCTGCAACTGCATTTGCTGCAGCCGCTGCTGCTGCTGCCGCCGCTGCTCCTCCTGCTGCTGCAACTGCCCCTGCGCCTGGGGCTGAACAGGGTCCTGAAACAGCTTCTGATACAGCTGCTCTATCTGCTGCTGTCGAGTCAGTCTTTCCCGCCCGCCATCTCTCCCTTGCTGCACCTGCTTCTGCAGCGTCTGGTTGCTGTCCCTGCTGCTCCCGTGCCCTGGGGCCGGCGCTGTGTGTGGTGGTTGAGTCGCCTGTACTGCTGCCCGTGGCGCTTGGCTCCCCTGATTCAATGGCACACTTGCGTGTGCTGCATGTGGTGCATGGGGTGCGTGTGCTGCATAGGGTGCATGTGCTGTTTGAGCTCCTTGTGCCATGTGCGATGAAGATGGCGCCTTAGCAGCAGCAGCCACCCAACCGGGTACACGAGTGGCAGCAGAAGCAGCAGCAGCAGCACCAGAAGAAATGGCAGCAGCACCGGTAGCACCAGCAGCACCAGCAGAAACGGCAGCACGGGCGGTGGTGGCGGCAGTGGCAGCAGTGGTGTTGGCAGTGGCAGTGGCAGCAGTGGTAGTGGTAGCAGCGGCGGTGGTCTTGTGGTGGTATTCGAGGTTGAGGGCGCGGCACAACAGCTCCACACGCCGCTTGCAAAATTCCACCACTCGCTTCTGCGCCGCGTTCCATGCCAGGTGCTCCTCCCGTGTCCACGGCTGTAACCGCTTGCCTGCTGGCATGACTCCGCCTGTTGCTGCTGCTGCTGCTGCTGCTGCTGTTGGTGGTGGTAGTTGTGCTGGTGATGCTGCTGCTGCTGTTGCTGTTGGTGGTGGTGCTGATTGTGCTGCTGGGGGTACTGATGGTGCTGCTGGTGGTACTGATGGTGCTGCTGTTGGTACTGATGGTGCTGCTGTTGGTACTGATGGTGCTGCTGTTGGTGCCGCTGCTGATGCTGCTGCTGCTGCTGACGATGCTCCCTGCACCCTCTCTGCTCCTGCTTCCGCTGCTTCCTCCTTTGCTTCCTCCATTGCTTCCTCCTGTGCTTTCTCCTTTGCTTCCTGTGCTTTCTCCTTCCCTCCCTCCATCACATCCCCCTTCACTTCCTCTGTTTCCTCCTTTGTTTCCTTCATTTCTTCCTCCTTTTCCTTCTCACTTGCTCCCTCCTTCGTTTCCTCCTTCACATCTTCCTTCAATTCCTCCTTCACTCCCTCTGTTCCTTCCTCCTTCATAGTCACACGTTTTTCAGCATCATCAGTACCACTGGCACCACCATCAGCACCACTGGCACCAGCAGCAGCACTTGTTTCAGCTTTCACACCCGCACTCATGCGATCCCCCAAAGCACCCTCTTGTTGTGCCACTCCCGCCTTCCCCTCTGCCACTCCCGCCTTCCCCTCTGCCCTCTCCTCCTCCCTAGCACCAGCAATTTCACCCATCACATCCCCACCACCACCGTCAGGTTTGGTGGTCATACCGTCAGGTTTGGTGGTCACAACATCAGGTTTGGTGGGCGCAACACCAGGATTGGTGGGCGCAACACCAGGATTGGTGGGTGCAACACCAGGATTGGTGGGAGCAACACCAGGATTGGTGGGCTGGGTAGACGAGGTGGCAACTGGGGTAGGTGGAACGGCTGGGATGTCCTCGAGGGTAAGGCCAATCATGTTGCGCGGTGGGGCGGGCGGCAGCGACAGCTCAGCACGTGCCACGTCAGCGAGGCCCAGCCGGTCGTCGTTGATAATGTCACTCCACCGCCCGTAGCCGTGCCTGCGAGGTAGGGGAGAGGGGGAGGTGAGGGGGAGGTGAGTGGGAATGATGATAGGCTCAAGTTAGAACGGAAGCTATGGGTGCGAGTGGGAACTGGCCGTCATTTGTGATGTCACTCCACCGCGCATAGCAGTGCCTGCGTGGAACTGCTGGGGGGGAGGGGAGGGGGGAGTTGGCGGGGGTGGAGGGAAAACAGTGGCAGGTGCAAGGAAGAGCGGCATGGTTATCATTGATAGTCGTGATATTACTCCACCACCGCCCGTAGCAGTGCCTGTGTGAAATTGAGAAGGGGACGGGAGAGGTGGGGCCATGGTGGCAGGCAGGCATCGTATGGGGGAGGGGTGCGAAGGAGTGATGGCTGGTGGGCGCAAGGCAGAACGAGAAGCATGGGTGTGCGTGGCAGACTTTCATTAGTGGTGATACCACTGCAGCACACATAGGTCACTTGGGGATGCCACTGCAGCACACATAGGTCACTTGGGGATGCCACTGCAGCACACATAGGTCACTTGGGGATGCCTTTCGGCAGCTGCAGGTCGTGCTCTGGAAAGGTGAAATGCATGCTACCGTTTATTCCGTGACTCCTTTCAACACTGCAACTCACTTGGTGATGCCTTTCAGCAGCTGCAGGTTGTGCTCGGCCCGCCAGTGTCGTGTGAGCGAGGGAAGCAGGGAGGCAGAAGGGATAGAAAGACAACAGGCGTGAGCAAGGGGAGCAGTGCACTCACACAGGTAAGCGAGCCGCCACTCACTTGGTGATGCCTTTCAGCAGCTGCAGGTTGTGCTCGGCCCGCCAGTGTCGCATGCGGATCAGTGGCGCCAGCTGGCTGTGGCTTTAAGCAGCTCACCTGGTAATGCCTTTCACCAGCTCACCTGGTAACGCCTTTCAGCACTCACTTGGTGATGCCTTTCAGCAGCTGCAGGTCATGCTCGGCCCGCCAGTGTCGCGTGCGGAAAAGCGGTGCCAGCTGGCTGTGGCTCTTCAGGTGGTCTGGCAGGCCTGGCAGCAACTCCTCCCAACCCAGCTCCACCGCTTCCTCCTCCTCCACGCCCTCTTTCTCACCCTCCTCCTTTCCACCCTCCTTGTTATCACCCTCCTCCTTTTTAGCTGCCTCCTTTTCGCCCTCCTTCATTTCACCGTCTTCCTTTTCACCCTCCTTCGTTTCACCCTCCTTCTTTTCACCCTCCTTCTTTTCCACCTCACCCTCCTTCTTTTCACCCTCACCCTCCTTTTCACCCTCACCCTCCTTCTTTTTCCCCTCTCCCTTCTCACCCCCCTCCCCACCAGCCAAAGTCACGCCCTCCATTTCGGAAGGCCCACCCCCCTTCCCTTCCCCAACTGCACCTCCACACACCCCCTCTCGCGCCTTCCTATCAGCCGCTCCTTTTCCAGAAACTGCTACTGTTGTTTCTGCTGCTACTGTTGTTTCTGCTGCTACTGTTGTTTCTGCTGCTCCTGCTGCTGCTCCTGCTGCGGCTTCTCCTGCTGCTGCCTCTCCTGCAGCTGCCTCTGCACCCCTACGCTCTGCACCACTCGCTTCTGCTCTCCGCTCTTCCGCACTCCTCCCCTCTGCACTCCTCCCTGCCTTCCCAGCGCCCTTGGCCAGCCTCCTCGCCCTGACCCTCTCCCACAGCCTCTCCCTGGTCCTCTCAGCAGCAGCCACCTTCGTGCGAATGAGGTGCAGCAGGGCCAGGCGGATCAGCACCTCCTGGGGATTCACGCCCTCCTTGGGCACTCCGTCTGGTGGAAAGGTAAGGACGAAGGAGGTGGGGAGTGAGGAGAAGGGGAGTGGAGGGTAGGGATGGGGGAAGGGAGAGGGGAAGGGAGAGGGGAAGGGAGAGGCGAAGGGAGAGGGGAAGGGAGAGGGGAAGGGAGAGGGGAAGGGAGAGGGGAAGGGACAGGGGAAGGGAGAGGGGAAGGGACAGGGGAAGGGAGAGGGGAAGGGAGAGGGGAAGGGAGAGGGGAATGAGGTGCAGCAGGGCCAGGCGGATTAGCACCTCCCTGGGCACTCTGTCTGGTGGAAGGGGAGAGGGGGGTGCAGCAACTAAGGGACGGGTCATGACAAGGAGGAGGAGCGAGAGTAGCGGACACAGGAAGCATGAGGTTACAAGAATGAATAAAAGGTGGGTCGCGTAGGATGCATGCACAGTGCTACATGCATGGTGCTACATGCACAGTGCTACTTGCACAGTGCTACATGCATGGTGCTGACACACAGAAAGGACTGCAATCGCGTGTGCACTCGCACGGTGACAAAGGTGAAGCCTTTTGACTTGCAATGTGGACCTCCAGGCTGCATGCCATGCAGGCGTGACGAAAGCAGAACGTGGAGCAACTCTTACTGTTGCATCCTGAATCAGCTAGCAGCGTTTAGGAGCTTCCGGTTGCTATTTCACAGGACATGATGGCTTGGCCGATGACTGGGAGGATGAGAGAGGATGACTGACATTATCTAACTACCAAGTCATCATGTCGAGAGGAAGCTTTAAGACGCAGCCAGCTGATTCATGATGAAACAGCATCATGAGTAGTCATGTCACACGTACGGCTTTCTTCATGCCGGCATGGTGTGCAGTCGGACACATGAAGTCGAAAGGCTTCACCTATGTGACACGAGTGAGCCTGGTGGTCACTGAGCAACTGGAATAAAGTTCTATCCAACGGAACGGAATGGAGCTGCATGAATGGTGCTGAGTGTACAGAGCTACGTGTACAGTGCTACGTGAACAGTGCTGCGTGTACAGTGCTACGTGTACAGTGCTACGTGTACAGTGCTACGTGTACAGTGCTGCGTGTACAGTGCTGCGTGTACAGTGCTACATGTACAGTGCTACGTGTACAGTGCTACGTGTACAGTGCTACGTGTACAGTGCTACGTGTACAGTGCTATGTGTACAGTGCTACGTGTACAGAGCTACTTGTACAGTGCTACGTGTACAGTGCTACGTGTACAGTGCTACGTGTACAGTGCTACGTGTACAGTGCTACGTGTACAGTGCTGCACACACAGAACGGAACGCAAGTGCACGCGCTCACATGGTGAAGCCATTTGGCAACAGCTGAAGAGGTAGGCGGGAGAACGAGGAAAATGCAGGGCACCTGAGAATGTGTCTTTGCTGGTTGGATCTTCTTGGATGTGCTTCAGATAAAGGGCACCGTAGCTGATGGGAGGGGAGACGGATGATCAGAAGAAGCATGATTTAGAATGAAAGCAGGATGAGAGAGCATAGAAAACATCACACAACTATTCACGAGCATAGAAACTCATCACTGGAAGATGAAACAGTACAGCACAACGCCAAACCTCTACTCCACAGGCACGCTAAACCACAGAGAACCATAGACGCACATGCAGATCATAGACGCACATGCAGATCATAGACGCACATGCAGATCATAGATGCACATGCAGATCATAGATGCACAGGCAGATCATAGACGCACGTGCAGATCATAGACGCACATACAGATCAGCTCAAAGCAGATCTTCTTGAATCTAGCTATTTCATAATTTTCATAATCTTCTAGCATACTAAAGTATGCTCAGAAGTAACTAACACCTTAATAGCCTGCAAGGTGCATGGCAAGAAAAAACTCCTTTTCAGTTGAAGCAGAACAAGGTGCCTTATGAGTAAACTCAAAGCTCTCCTGTGAATCTCAAACTCACTCTTTAATCTCCTGCAGAGTGCGTGGCTTGAGTCGAGGCACGAACTCCTTCCAGCTGAAATCACCGATCCCGAACCTGCGGCAAGAGGTTTTGAGGGGGGGCGTGTCATCTGAACCCCAGTACCTTATCCCTGCCATTCATGTCCCATTCATCACAGCACAGTCTGCTGACAGTCATCCCCAACATGCGAAATGAGTGAAGTTTTGAGACGTCTCAAAACCCCAAGCACCACTTCCCCAACATGCACCCTTTCCCTTCTCACCGCATGATGAGTTGCTGGAAGGTCATGCGCTGCTTGGATGTGAATCCCAGCACCTTGGTGTGCGGCCATGCCCCCTCCATCAACGGCCACACCTTCCTCCTCACTTCCCCCGCACTCCCCCCTCCTCCCGCCCCTCCCACAGCAGCACCAGGAGAGGTAGCTGGAACCGGCTTTCCGTACCTAACCTTCCTCTTCCTCCCCCTCCCCGTACTCTCCTCCTCAAGCTCCACATCACTCTCCCCATCCTCCCCGTCGTCCTCCTCCCCATCCTCATCATATGCCTCATCCCCCTCTCCTTCCCCCCCTTTCTCACCCTTCCCCCCTCTCTCCCCCTTCTTACCCCCCACCTGCTCCCCCTCCTCCTCCCCATCAACCGTATAATCCACATGCCGCCTCGCCCGCCTCCCCTTACCAAGCTCCAGAAACGACTCGATCTGCTCGGCCTCGTATCGGTCTTTCAGCAATGACTCCCAGTAGGCGGCTCTCCCTGCTGCATCTAAGCGTTTCCCTTCCTCTGCTAGCTCCTGTTCTCGCTGCCTTTCGCGCTCCAGCTCTCGCTCCTTCTCTGCGTCCACCTCCGCTTGATCTGCTTCTGAGACGAAGCTGAAATTAGCAACCTGCGGTGGCAGGGAACACGTGGCAATATGAGGGACTTCTTTAGGGTCAAGGCGACTCAAAGGTCACCTCGTTAAAATGGCACACTCTGCTTGATCTGCTTCTGACACGAAGCTGAAATTCGCAACCTGTGGTGGCAAGGAGGGCATGACGATAGGAGGGCAAGAAATGGGTGGATTTTTTAGAATCCAGTCTTTCTCCCCCTCCCCCTCCCCCTCCCCTGCTAGTTCCTGTTCTCTTTGCCTTTCTCGCTCCAGCTCTCTCTCCTTCTCTGCGTCAGCCTCTGCCTGATCTGCTTCTGACACGAAGCTGAAATTGGCAACCTGCAGTGGCAGGGAACGTTGGCAATACGAGGGACTTCTTTAGAGTCAACTCAAAAGTCACCTCGATAAAATGGCACACTCAGTTTGACCTGCTTCCGACATAAAGCCGAAATTGGCAACCTGCGGTGGCAGGGAACACATGGCAATAGGAGGGCCAGCTAGACATCAGCTTGTTCTCAACACAGCACAATAAAACCACTTGCGTTGAGTTCAAGTACCATAGCGAACTTGTTGCAGTTACCTTGAAGGGCTCAATAAGTAACCCACGGGCTTACCTTGAATGCCTTGAGGTAGTCGTTGTCAGGTTCATCCTCTGCTTGCTCCTCGCCCACTGTGCTGCGATCCAACAGCCTGAGAACAGGCCAGAGGGGCAGCGGAGAGGAAAAGAGATGAGAGAGGGAGAGGAGAAAAGAGAGTGGAATATTGTGGCTAATCAATGACTGCGTGGCTAATCAATGACTGCGTGGCTAATCAATGACTGCGTGGCTAAACAATGACTGCGTGGCTAATCAATGACTGCGTGGCTAATCAATGACTGCGTGGCTAATCAATGACTGCGTGGCTAATCAATGACTGCGTGGCTAATCAATGACTGCGTGGCTAATCAATGACTGCGTGGCTAATCAATGACTGCGTGGCTAATCAATGACTGCGTGGCTAATCAATGACTGCGTGGCTAATCAATGACTGCGGCTAATCAATGACTGCGTGGCTAATCAATGACTGCGTGGCTAATCAATGACTGCGGCTAATCAATGACTGCGTGGCTAATCAATGACTGCGTGACTAATCAATGACTGCGTGGCTAATCAATGACTGCGTGGCTAATCAATGACTGCGTGGCTAATCAATGACTGTGGCTAATCAATGACTGCGGCTAATCAATGACTGCGTGGCTAATCAATGACTGCGTGGCTAATCAATGACTGCGTGGCTAATCAATGACTGCGTCTAATCAATGACTGCGTGGCTAATCAATGACTGCGTCTAATCAATGACTGCGTGGCTAATCAATGACTGCGTGGCTAATCAATGACTGCGTGGCTAATCAATGACTGCGTGACTAATCAATGACTGCGTGGCTAATCAATGACTGCGTGGCTAATCAATGACTGCGTGGCTAATCAATCACTGCGTGGCTAATCAATCACTGCGTGGCTAATCAATGACTGCGTGGCTAATCAATCACTGCGTGGCTAATCAATGACTGCGTGGCTAATCAATGACTGCGTGGCTAATCAATGACTGCGTGGCTAATCAATGACTGCGGCTAATCAATGACTGCGTGGCTAATCAATGACTGCGTGACTAATCAATGACTGCGTGGCTAATCAATGACTGCGTGGCTAATCAATGACTGCGTGGCTAATCAATGACTGTGGCTAATCAATGACTGCGGCTAATCAATGACTGCGTGGCTAATCAATGACTGCGTGGCT